CGACAATACCACACTCGAGCTCATGGCGCGGAACAAGGTTCTTACTCTACCCGAGAGCCACTTCCTCCGTCTGCTGGAGCCGGCTTTCTTGCCTCATGAGGATGTGGCCTCCGACCCCCTGGCCGCCGCCACATATGTGACGTACATGGACCCGGCGCATATGGCGGCGAAGGAACAGCAAGATGGGGAAGCGGGAATTCGCAGCGCAGCGCCGCCGCGGTGGTGGAGTGATGGGCGCGTGTCGCATGTTATGCGCGGGTTCTACGATGCCCTGCGCCATGGACGGGACAAGACGGCGGGCGGGTCGGCCGGGAATGCTGAAGATGGCCGGTCGGCGACGGCACAGACGCGGCGGAAGTTTGACGAGGCCGTGGGAGCTACGGTGGCAGCGGCACCCGGGACGACGGAACGGGGCGAACTGCGCGAGAAGGCGCTGGAGTTCGTCATGGCGAGCATCTCGGGCACGGTGGCGACGATGTTACTGTTGGATGAATCGGCAATCAACGCGGCCCGCGCCGTATCCGAACATGGGGTTGACAGTCTGATCGCAACGGAGTTACGCAGCTGGTTCCATATTGCGCTTGGGTCTAAAATCAGTATGGTTGATCTTCTGGATCCGCGGACGAGTATCAATGCGCTGGCTGCCAAGGTTGTTGATGCTGCTATTGAGGGAGAAGGAAAATAGGGGTAATTTGCTTTTGGGAAATGTTTGTTTTGGTTGGCGTGAATGGATGGATATACGTCTGTTAAAGGTAGATTGAAAACATTTAGAGAGTAGTAGTTTCATTTCAACGCGTCCTTACTATTACATCCTCAACTTCACGATGGGACTTTGGTAAGCTGTGTTTGACGCGCCCGATAGAATGCATCGTCTAATGTTGTTAGCCAATTGTATGAGCCGCATTTGTGTACACGAAAAAAGATCTCAATAACATTCGGTATGGATGTGCTGTTCATCCTGACATAAGCCAGCAGAACATGGGAGTTCATTGTAGCACCGATGGATACATTCAAAGTGTCGGGTAGAGCCGTTGATGATTGAATCAAGGATTGCATCGTAAGCTCTGGCCTTTCCCCGCAGTACATCTTACGGAATTGCTGATCAAGGACGGACGAACGTAATACTAATAATGCTTGGCGATAACAAGAAAATGGCACGAACGCAAGATGATGATAATGTAGTTATGAAGTGCAGACTAGGCTAAATACATGTGCTGCCCCTTTTCTTTCGCACGCGCTGATACCAGAGTTCCAACCCACGAGGGATCGAGCTGGTTTTGGGACGGTTCATTGCCGAGTGATTTGAATGTTCGACGATGTCTCACTGGTACTCGATGCAGATGGCGTCGCTGTTGACATCCATGACCTCAGCGATAGTGATGTTCTCAGCAATACCAGCCATCCACAAGACATGGTCAAGAGTGGTGGTGTTGCCGTTGTCGTTGAAGTAAGGCAGGAAAGCATTGACGCCGAGAGAAGAAGGTTGGACGCTGGACCAAAAGAATCCCTCAGCGACGTTGTTTCCACCAATGTCGGTCAAGCGTGACTCGTTCTGAGCCTGCCACTGCCACCAGATACGGTCCAGGTTGGTGTGGTGGAGGAAGAACAGCGGGTCTCCAGGGGAAAGGGAGGGGTCATCCATCTGTGGAGAACAACATCAGCACAAGGGGCGGATAAACTTATGAGCATGGAATTCACTTACGGTGCCACCGATGGCATAGTGTCCGCCAGTGTGAGGAGAGGCGCCCAGGCAGTTGTTGAAGTCCACGTAGTTGTCCAAGGCCAAGCAAGCATCGATGATCTTCTGGGCTGTCTGCTCGTACTGGTTCTGCTTGAAGAGACGGCTCAAGCACACGGGCTCCACGCGGTTGAGCTCGGTGTCAAGCGTCAGTCTAACGTTGGTGTAAGGACCGTCAGTGACGCAGCCGTTCTCGTCAAGAGTGGTGGAACCGAAGCCGGCCGTAGCGCTGCCGTTCAGAATGCTGGCGCTCTCCAGCGGGCCTTCGGCCTGTTCCGCTTGCTCGTCCCAATAGCTGGCCTTGATAAGCAACTATATTTGATAGTGGTGTTTTGTATAGCATGACTTACGGCATCGGTCCAGTGTAGCCACACTCATTTCGGAGGAAGGACTCTTGGACAGTCATGTACCAACGGTGCCACGGCAGGAAAGCCCCCTGGATACCAAATGCATATCAGCCATCGATGTTCCTACTTGGCCATAGGAAATCAGGTAAAGGAGACTTACGACAGAGTGGATGAACTGGGCCTGGGACACATGGGCAGCTTGGAGCTCCTCCCAGACCGTTGTGGAGCCCGCGTACCCAGTCTTGGCAGGGGCCTGGGCCGCATCCATCAAGCAAAGCGTCGAGCTAATGTACGATGTCTTCTCCCCATCAGTCAAGGCGGACCTGTAATTCCACTGCTGTAAGCCATTTTTCATCCCGCCAACATGTTCGTTCAGAAGTGGACATACCAAGACTTTCGGACAGACGGGTTCGTGCATGCTGCGCGCACCACCTCAGATGCACCGAGGGCGATAATTGCTTTGGCCAACAACTTGTTCATGATTGCGGTTTTGAGTGTCAACTAAACGATGTAATGATTGAATAAGTGGGTGAAGGAGCGATTTGCAAGAATGACTTGAGTTAGGCTGTAAAAGAATGTGATGATGAGCAAAGATAGAGAAGCTGTGCTTGCCGATATCAGCTTTAGACCGGAAGTCAGCGAGGTATTTATCGTCTTGCTATCTAGAACATGCATCCGTACACGAATTAGAACGTCTCTAGAGACATGACCGCTCATGAATCTCTTCGAGTAGCATTTTCTAGGTTACGCGGCAAGCCAAGCCGGGCAGACCGATCGTGTGCCGCTGGAATCGGCGTCTACACTAGACGCGGCGGTTCATCCGATGCACCTGTCAAATATCACCTTCACTGCGAGGCTCCGCGGGCTTAGCTGCAAGCATGTATACAACCTTGTTGCATGAAGACCCATCACGGGAGGAATGTAGTGCGTATGCTTAAATTTAGCTGCTGTCCCATGCTTCATAGTACTAGAGCGGTAGTGGCTGAGAGACATGACATGCTCCAGGGTCAGGGATGACTTGATTCTGGCTATATGCTACTGGATTCTAGTAGCCTCGCAACTCTGTCTCGGGGCCGCGAGCTTTTGGGTCAACAGCACTTTCCTTCATACGATCAAAGAGTAGTTTCAGACTAAATACAGCAACGCTGCAGAGACTGACTGCCAGCCACGGAGATCTTACCGAAAAGCGTTGACCGGGGTGGACCAAGAATTACCTACGCCGGCAATACTGGATTCTATGCGGTAAATGCTTGAAATTATCCGCAGATAAGCCTAACCCTTAAGAAGAAGTTCTCATGCGGGAGCTCCCAGAACAGCCGCGCTCCCCGCTCCGCCCCGCCCCGGCCCTCCCCCCCTTGCTCCATCAAGGGAAGCAGGGAGGTCCATGAGACATGGAAACCAGCCCATCGTAAGTGAATCTGCTTTGCAATGAAGTATCAGAAGATGTCAAAGTGAGCTCGCGGATACACCTGCCTCCATTATGAGAAATCCTCTTTGGCAATGGATGAAACTTCCATCTTTAGCTTCTCTTCGTCGGAATCAGCATCGTGATACAATCGGAGCTGCGCAGCCTGTGGCCTGCTTCATAGCGAATTCACCGCGGTGCAGCGCCGGTGGCATGCGATGACGCCTTTTGCCAATGCGTGCGGCTCATCGCGATCGCGACATGGGAAAAGTCGACTATCCGCCAAATATGACTCAAGAACCTATTGGTGGTTCTGGATGCAGGGGGTTCGCCCCTGAACGGCTGTCTCGGCAGGCAAGCATCGCGTCTAGGTCTTGCGGCCACAGCGGAGTTTCCGCGGAACAGGATGACTTCTTCCGTGTGATCTACCCCAGGTCATTGATATTTGTGTTACTTGGCAATTATGTGGGCTGTGATTCGTCGCAGGTAAGGTCGAGATATCGTATTAGACACCTACACAGCCGCGCCGTTGTAACTCCATGCATTTCTAATCTGTCATCATTTTAATCTGCAGGTCTAAGGAGCTAAAAGGAAGTATCTGATGAGCTTAGGCTTAGGTGTAGTTGTGTGAGGTCCCCTACCGTCACAATTCAGCTGGTGCCGATGACCTCTAGTGTTGTACAAGTTGCGAGAGAACCCTGTGAGGACTTTTGGATCTTCATACTACCCATTTGGACGCTTCTTGACACGGTCGCATCTCCATGATGGCCAATCTGGCATTCAAACGCGGTCGGTGTTGAACGGCAGTACTTCCCTGACGAGCCTATGGGCGACGAAGACTACTAGATTAGGCTTTATAAAACCCTGCCTATCGAATTTGGTTCCGATCCCGGGCTTGAAGTAGCATATCGGCAATATGATCTTCAGCAGGTAAGTAAACCACTGGGGCACCTGACTCTATCAAGGGCCACTGTTAAGGGTGAGCAGCTTATCAGGGTTGAAAGAAAATTCGCGATGAGTAAACATGTAATGGCAATTATCACGTGGAAATGTCTAGGCCGCTCTCTGCTCGATTTCTGGATGTCCGTGCGGACTTTCGTACCGATCACCCATGCCATAAATAGGGTTTTAATTGCCAAGATACAATCTCCCGTAGCCGCGTATTGAAGATAAGTGGAGGATTGCGAATATCTCGGATTCGGTTTGCCGCATGGGACTTGGCGAATGATAAGCTAGCTAAATCGTCAGTAATCATTAAACGGATTACTCGATCCTGAATCTCAGCTGACACATCACTGCGGGTCACATCACATCAAGGAGTGCGGAAAGCCAAGCTCCTCGACTGGTTTGAGGGCGGGTGATGTCTTAGCCGACAGCGGGTCAAGAATTATCACGCAATACAGTAGCGACGGTAATAGCGGAAGAGCGCAATGACAAAGGGCTATATAAACAATGCAAGGCCGACTGAATAACTTATGCATGGAAATGGTTTGCGAAATCTATTTGTTTCTCAGCTGTACCCGCTCAAAGGGTTGTCGTCTCGTTTGTGGTGCATGTAGTCCATGGCTTGGCCATCTTCACCTCGTCGATCCGGCCCCACGGTCCCAAAAATCTTCTCGTACTCCGCCATCTCCGTGCTTATGACATTGCACTCAGCTCCATTTGGAAAGATTAAAAGGCGTACTAGCAGTCCTTTGACTTTATAGTTGTCTGGTGGCAAGCCCAAAGGAGGCCGCATCTCCTTTACGTCGTCCGGATTGGATTTTTGCCGCATGATGCTCAACGCCTCCGTCCACGTCCCACGGCACATGTGAGGACGCTGAAGTGCCAGAACGAAGGGTGTGTTTCCGAGGAAAGCATCCATCTTGCCAGAATCTAGACCTATATCCTGGAGATCCATCCGCCATGGGCGACATACTTCTCGGCACTTCATCACAGCTGGTAAGACATAGTACTCGGCGCCCCTCATTCTAGCTTCAAATGCAAGACTTTCAAAGGCCAGCTGCAGCCACTCCAGCTTCTTGGAACTCAGCAAAATGCCCAGAAATCCGTCGAAAGATTCGATCATGGCATCTGAGCGGACCGGCCACATGTGGAAACTGCCGCTGTCAACATCTTCCAACGCGAACATTGGCTGCCGAGGTAGGGTCCACAGGCGGAGAAACTCGAGGTCCCTCATCAGCTCTCTCGCGTGCTCTCTAGCTTCTGGTTCTTCCGGAAAGAGTCCCTTAAAGTCGTTAGGGGGTGTGATGTCCATATACAATACCTTTAAACGGATGCCCACTCTTCCCAGTGCTGAGAGAAGCTTTCCGAGAGCGTCCACAGAGGGATTAGGCCCTGAAAGGGTTCCCGCCAAGCGGTCCCATTCCATGGGAGTCGTGAGAAGTTCCATTAGGGACTGGTAGCTCATTGCTCCGCCTGAATCGACGTACTTGTCCCTCCAGTCGGTGGCCTCGTGATTGTAGTCGTATACGTCCAATCGATGTGCTTTCGGTAGGCGTGCGAATGCTTCCGCGGCTCGTCTGACGAAGTGGTCCTCATCCATGAGCCCTTGGTACTCCTCATATTTTAGTCTGTAGAAGCTGTATGCCTCCCACAGCACTGTTTCGCGCCTCATTTCAGCGGCTGCAGCTCGGATTGCCTGCTCCCTCGAGGCAAATTCTCCGAGTTCGGGGGTGCTGATGATCTTGTGTATCCTATCAAACAGACTCAAAAGTCTGTCGTTTTCTTGTGCGGAGAGGATGTCTACAACAGGTGTAATTCCGCGACCTTCCGGTTCTCTTGCAGATATTGCCCAGAACAACGTCGTTAATGCATAATTAGCGAACATTACGGGATCTTCCGAGTGGATTTGAGAATAGTGGCCCATGATAAGCTGAACGCGTTTTACGCTTTTGCTGAAAATTTCGTGTCTTGATACCTCCTCGAGACGCGTGAGGGACTCTATTGTGGGGCTGACCGTTATGGACGGTATCAAATGCCGTGAAGATAATTCGTTCAGCTTATGGCAAGTCAGACGGAGTGCCTTGATCGTGTTGAGTTCTTTCTCATCCACTGTGTAATCCGTGACGATATAGTCCGGGTGATCCACGATGTTGGAATGATCTTCGCAGTGATCAATGATTCTCTCGACGATCTCCATCGGGAGATCGTTCATGCTCAGCTTCCGACCAAGCGGGCGTCTATTGATTATGGAACGGATGTGGTCGTGGCGTTGGAGCATTCTTGTAGAGAGAAACACTTGAGGTTGTCGGGCTGCCACTTGCTCGAACGAAAGGACGCGCGCCCTGATGACTTGATCGCCTACATGGTATCGTTTGTTCGGCCAGTCGTCATGAAGGTGACGGAGTACTTCGTCCAGATCCATCAGGTGCTCGTAAAGTGTGGCAAGATCGGAGTTCTCGAAGGCGTTTAGGTCGAGGTCGCAAAGCTGGTTCCCGCGTTCGGCAATTTCCCGCTGAGTCCATCTCTTGTCACCCAGCTTTGACTTCGGGGTTCTACCCTGTGGGAAACCGTCATCAGGCCCTTCGACCTTTGCTTCGTAACCCTCTTCTGCATCTATCCCGTCGATCCACTCAGGGATGTCGAATTTGAACGCAGACATTTTGGCAGTTTTGGAGGTCAAGTTTCATCTAGGACAGATCATTCTGCGCAGTTGATTGAGTTGTGTGGGTTGAAAATGAAGGAATTGCTGAGCTTGATGAGACTAGTCGACATTGAAGTGAAAAGTTGTTACTCTTGTACGGCGGCGAGGTTGAATGCGTCATTTGAGTCAATCCAAGACAAGGATTCAGTCCATCATGTGGGTCTCAGGGGCCTCCATCGTTGCCTCCGTCCGCGAGGGTAGTCACCTGAACCGGATCACCTCATGCCCCACCACTATCCCCGGTGAAGTGACTTGGTTCTCCTAAATACATGCCATGCAGTAGAAAGGGTCGCGCCGAGGTAATGAGGCAAAGATGGAAGGGAGGAAAGGGCCCTGCCTCTGTCTAGGTTGCCGCTTTTGACAGACTGAGAGAAGGAGCCTTCTCTCAAGGAACCAGCGTTACTCATCAAAGCGAAATGTACAAATGGGTCGGAGTTTACATTTGTCGATAGTGGGAAGTCAAGATGCTTTGATGACAAATTTGGCCAATCCACTTGGTGTCTGCCGAGGAACTCAACAACATCTACTAATCACTCCATCGCATAAGTAGAGACTGCATGACAGATAGAGACGTGGGTATCTGGATGACAAATTGGTCAAGTAGGGGAGCCAAGAACCATGTCTTGAGTATAAAACCCCGAGGAGGCCCAGAGCCTGAACTCTGTGTAATACAACATAGAAAGCATCAGCTTTTCACATGACAAGTTACAATTGCCTTTTGCATTCTCTGAGAAGAAACCAAGATGTTTTCCGCCAGCACTGCTCTCGTTCTAGTTGACCCTTACAATGACTTTCTTCACCCTGAAGGCGCTCTCACGCCGCATCTCCTAGACCTCCAAGAGAAGGGCACGGTTGAGAACATTAGGTCCGCCGTCGCCGCTGCTCGCTCCAAGGGCATTCCAATTTACTACGGAATGCATCAACAGTGCAACGAGCACACTTTTCTTGGGTGGAGACACATGACACCTAATCATGTCAGACAGAAGGACTCGCAAGTCTTCAAGGAGGGATCGTGGGGTGCGGAGATCCTCCAGGGCCTTGAACCGGATGCGTCCAAGGGCGACGTCGTTGTTAGTCGACATTGGAGTAGCGAGTGAGCTCTTCCTGCTCTTCCACATGGATCAAGCATCTAACGAGAAAATCTCACGAAGCTCTTTCGCAAACACTGATCTCGACTTCCAACTCCGCCAACGCGAGATTACTCATCTCGTTTTCGCGGGCCTGACGGCAAACACCTGCCTGGAGGCCTCCGCGCGCCATGCCTTTGAACTGTAAGCCCCGCTTTGCCATCCATCGTACTAGATCGAGCTGACAAGCCTAGGGGATATCACGTCACTCTATTGTAAGTATTCTTGAATGATGAATCGTGCATGAGCGGAGCACGGAAAGACTAATGTGTCCGCAGGAAGGATGCCACGGCCGGGTGGTCCAAGGAGTTGACTGATGCGGCGACGGAGCTGATCTGGCCCCTCTTCGCCCAGGAGGTCCTGAAGACGGAAGAATGGGTCCAGAAACAAGCAGTCAAAAGCGTGATTTAGGCCGCCTGCGTTCGAGCAGCGGATAGGATACTTCGCCGTATACCAGTTGATGAAACAAAAGCAACATTGGCCTTGAATTAGCATGTACTGTGGACATGGGCCATAAAACCCCCTTTGTAGCTTTTGAATTCAATTATAATTGTGGCTCGCATAGTTTCTAAGGTGAAGCACGTGTCGTAGGCGCCCTACGATGTGATGTGACTGTGCTACACAGTGGTGTGACCAAATTTGTCAGCATCCTCTGCGTTGCCCCAATGTACGAGGAACTAAAGCCGGTCGGGAGAGACCTTGATCCAGAGAGAAGACTCACTGAAACTTACCCAAGAATCAGCCAGGGACGATCAAGCGGTTCACCGATTATCGGACATACACCCCTCTTCATCGCATATCAAATCCCAATCATGTCCTCTCATTGCGCTGTCACCAAACCGCCTGAGCGAGTGCTTTGGATGCCGGTCAATATTCCTTCTAATTTCACGCCCGAAAACAACGTCGAGCCTCGGGATCAGTAATCTTTCTGATGCATTACCGAATTTGTAAGTTGAGAACGGACTGATCCGGCGGAGAAGTTGACGGAGTAGTCCGCTCGAGCGGGGTGAGTGCGTGTAATGTACATGAGATCAGCTTGCCAAATTTGTCAGCAAGCCAGCTCGTCCAGAAGGCGATCCTCACCATGGAGATTCTTACCTGCCGCCGAAAGCGCTGGACAAAGTGATGCTATCAGATGGAAAACGTGAGTAGTACTAATTTTGGTATCTTCCGAAGCAATGTTGACATTTGCAAGCATATGAAAGAATCGAAGCAAAATGATGTAGTTGGCAAATCGTCCCCCCTCCCTCACCACGATGCGGCTCAAGAGGCGATGTACACAATTGAATGGCGAGAGCCTTCTGTATATCTGGATATAGTCTAAATCATGGCAACTTCTCACACCTTCATCCAAAACTGTCCGCCCTTGCTCCTTCGCTTAGCTTCTCTTGCCGCAAATAAGAAGACCATGCCTAGAGTCAGACAGCACCCAGAAAATACCTGTCCTCCGAAGTACCGCCCACCCAATGCAGACACAAGCGCGCCCCCAATTGGAGGCCCTGACAAGACTGAGAAACTGACTATCGTGAAGATCATGCCGATTCTTGTGCCCTGTTTGCTAGGATCGGCTGTCAAAGAGGCTAGTGCGGAAGGAAACACCGCCTGGATACCTCCCAAGATGATCCCGCTTATCGCAGCCCATGCGTAGAAGGCACCCTTTCTATCCACGGCAAGCCAAGTGAACATGATGAGGGCGCCAGCGGCGGCTGTCGGTACGAGCACTGTCAGGGCTCCGGCGCGGTCTGCCAAATAGCTTGGTAAAATCCGGCCGACGATCCCAACGCCGCTCATAATCATCAGGACATCCAGCGCCGAAGTGTAAGAAATACCCAGGATATCTCTGGCGTATGCAGCAGTGAAGAAGAAAGCGAAGTAAGAGCCCCAGAAGCACTGAGACTCGTCATTAGCAAAGTTTCGGGGACTTTCGCCAGAAGGCCACATACCAGAAACATCCCTACACCATAGAACGTGTACCCCAATTCTTTGAACGCATCCCACTCAACCAATTGCCCCGTTGTACGAGGCGGAAGACGGGGTCTCAAGGACAGCAACGCGATGGCCAGAGCCACGAGCTGTACAAGTCCAATTGCTCTCATCGTCCAGCCAAACCCTACAAGTGGGAGCAGCTGTCTCACGATAGCGGGAAAGAGAACACCTCCTGTCGTGCTACCGCATGCTGTGAAGCCAATGGCTAAGGACCGTCGTTTCTGGAAGTAAGTCGAAACGAGAGCAATGGTCGGGCAGAAGAGACAGCCATTTCCGAGGCCGACGCACACTCCCTGAGATAAGAATATTTGCCAGTATTCGATCGAAAATGAAGTGGCTATGCTCCCAAGAACAACTAAGATAGAGCCTACGAGGGCAACGGGGCGAAAAAGCCTGGCGTCAGTAAGACGTCCTGTGAAGGTACCGATGAAGAAAAGGAGGAATATCTCGAATGATCCGATCCAAGAAATATCAGAAGGAGGTCGTTTCAGGGTTTGGGCATAGTGGCTTTGAAAGGCGCCAAAGGAGTTGATGACTCCCCTGCGATTATTAGCTTCCTCAAGCTAGAGGATGGATCCAGGGGCAAAGTGTACCAGGTGTTCATCACCACTAGGTGCGTCCCAAGCACTATATTTTTGAGGTCAGTGCTTGTTGTTTATGTAGCTGTTGGATCTTCTCACCGCAAAGCCATGCCCAGAGACCGCCGTCGGGTGGCGGCCCGGACGTATTGTTTGACGAAGTTGTGATGTGACTCAAGACTCGATGCGGCCGACTGGGTTGGCTAAAGTCCGTCGATATCGCAACTTCTTCGGAGGTGCTGCGTCGTTCGGTCCGTTCCTTATTCACCATGTCAGACGGGGCCCGCGACGTCTCAAGATCTTCTGTTCTCGGCTTGATCGACGGCGTTGGTTCGATCTTCTGAAGCTTCGATCCCATTCCAAGGGAGGTTTGGAACATCTCGGTATTTTTGGCTTGAATGTTGCTACTTCTCAGTGTTGGACTTCGCTGGACTTCGCTCGATGACTGCCGGAAATTGATCAGTGCCGTGAACTGGCAGTGTCGAGGGATATGAGGGGTCTAGAGCTGCATACTTCTCTTGCCCCAAGTAAAGAGCCAATTATCTTCCCAACGGAGATATCAAAATGTCCCTTCTGAAGTGTGTGTTTAATATGTATAGATCACCCGCAAGTGATAAGGCAATAGAGAAGCAGGGCTTCTGCATGCCCCCTGGGGTGGTCCAAAGACAGAGTCGGACTCTCCGCGCCATACCTAAGCTTGCCGACGTCGGATGCTCGGTCTTTGCATATCACTCGTCTTTCTCCTTGTAATTTGCCGGCAGTGTTCATTCGGAAAAGCGTGACCAACCCGCTCTCGTCGGCAACTGCGTATCAATCGTTACTGCATGGTCAGATTGGTCAGCAATCTGGATCAGACACATGCGCCCTTCCTGGGTACAAAGGGCGAAGTCGACAAGCAAGTGGAGTTACCCCTCTTTCAAATTGGTCAGCATCCACCTTGGCATGACGAGGACTCTTCCGATGTTTAGCTGAGCCTTTCACAAGAGATTTCATTACTTCGTCTCGAAACATGGGGCCTACTCCCCTATCAAGCTAGACAGCTTCTGCTTCCACTCTTGCAGCGTTTTATTCCGCTCCTCCAGCTCCTCCTTGGCTCTCCCTAGTTCTGCCTCAAGTTCCCGATTCTTGCGCTCCAATTCCCCCTTCTCACTCCGCTCCGCCTCCCTCTCTGCAGCCTCTGCCCTCAGCTTCTGTACCTCAGCCTGCAGGCTTCCGGCCTTATGCATTGCAGTCTGCATCATAGTCATCTCATTCCGCTGCATGCTGATCACCTGCTGCAACCGCTTCGTTTCCACTTCTAGCTCAGAAACCTTGGTCTGTAGAATGGGGACGCTTTCGAGCTCACGATAGACGACCGCTAGTGCCGAGTCGACTTCTGCGGGCAAGGTAGTGAAGCGTGATTTCCTCACTGGTGGATTTCGTGATCGGGCCGCTCTGGTCTCGGGTTGCTCTGCAGAGACCAGTCTGGCTGGCATCACAGGCGGCTCTGGGAGCGCAGGAGTTGGATCTAGACTCGTCAAATGCTGCGTCGCTTTTGAGGCACCTTCAGCTACTTGAGAGACTTCTATGCGCTGAGGGGAGCTTGGAGGAGTTATAATGGGAGGGTCGCTATGCCAACCGCGATCAACGCACACAGGACAGTACCAAAGGCTGTTGTCTCCGTGAAGCGCTGCAGAGCTCTTTGGTGGTTTATGTGCATCGTGATATGACCTTCGGCACGTGTCGCAGGGAACCAAATTATCAGGCTCCTGGCATACGAAACAAAAAGCATCATGCTGGCCCCCAGATTCTTAGTGCAGTCAGTCAACTGTTCAGAGCGCCTGCAGACGAGGTTGTCAAACGCACTTTTCCAGGCTTTGTAACGCGCCAAAGGGGATAATGGCTGTGTATCCGACTCTACTGCTACAGTGATCGTGTTTGCAGCTTCAAGGTGGACTCCCTCACTGGTCGTGGGCTCCGTTGACGGCAAAGGCCGCCGACTACGCGTCGATGCAACTTGCTGCGTCCGGGCCCGTTTCGCAGGCCGTCCGCTTGATCGTGGACTACTTGCCTCGCGCGTGGGAGACATTCTGACGACGAAACTGTCTCACCAGGGTACGGGTGTGCTGATGTTGGCCTCGCGGTGGCAATGATTTCCAATCTTCAGGAGCGCTTCGCCGAGATTTCGAAAGAAATGACGGAAGCTGATTTGTCTGAACAAAACCAGTCACGTGAGTGTGTCCCAAATTTGTCATCAACCTGCCAGTTTTTGGATGGTGAGAAGGTTCATAAGAATTGAAGATGGGATGAACTCTCTATGAGCAAGGAAGCTGCTGCATGCAATATTTATTGCAAACAAAGAAAAATTGAAACATTCTTTTGAACAAATCGAATAATTCCTAAAAGCTTTGCTGGTCGCAAATAGGGACGATCCAACGCTGTCACAAATCACCAGCACATTTCGATGAGGTACGCATGCAGACCTGGGTCACATCGATCAGAAAGAAATGGATATCTAACCTAGTCAAAGCAACAAAAACGAATCTAAACACAAAAATGCCATATGGCTCAGACAGTAGGTTGTGCACCCTCCAGCTGTCAACACCGCCCGCGGGCGGAACCCTTCCACATCCAACACAAACAAAGTCTGAGCCATTTTTAACCCCTGCCAGTGACCATCAGATGAAGTACGCGGACACATAAGACGTGTTGGATGCTGCATGAACCCCTCCTCCCTGTGCCTTTTTACTTCTCATTTAATCGGTGAAATCATTTTTTGGGGCCGTCATCCGTAGACCTCGATGAGGAGGTCGTCCTGCTGCTCTCGGCATAATCCTTAAGAATCTTTGATTCCTCCAGCGTCTTGCGCTTGTCATACTCGTCAAGCAGCTTGTACGTGGTCTCCAAAGGCAGCTCTGCCATCTTGTCTCTCAGTTCCTGGGGCAGAGGTTAGTACAACGCAGCTATTATGCCAGGGTAAATGAGATGCAAACTTACCAGGGGGAACACGTTGGATGGCTTGTATCTGAACTCGTCAATCAGACGGTTCAGGCGAAGCATCTGCTTCCACGTGACAATGATGTCGCCGACCAAAAATGTCGGGAAGCGGGCTGAGGAAATCTCTTCGAGGATCCAGCGGCGCTGGAAGTACTGACGGAGGACAAAGTCCGTGGCGCCGACCCAGTGAGGCGCCTTGTCCGGGTCCGAGCCGTCGGTCGGCGGCGTCCAGATCCAGGCAATCTTCTTGATCCATTCGTGGTGTGGCGAGTAGTTGTGAGGGTTCTTCTCCGCGTCGCCCGGGTCTCCCCACGTACGCGGCATGACTTCGTCGATTTCTGCAACCATCGCGAGACCCGCGTCTGTGTGCTCCACCGCCTCACCTACCCAGCCGACGACCAACGCCGCGGCCTTGTAGATCGTCTTCATGTCCGTGTGGACGCGCGACTTCTCATACTCGTCGCGGGGGTTCACGCACAGAAAGTCGCACCAGATGCGCAGCGCCCAGTTCGCGTCGTCCGCTCCTTTGGACGACGAGCCCAGGCCGAACAGCTGCCTCAGCCATCGCGGCGCGCCTGACTGCGGCCGGCGCGGCGATGTGCATTGGAAGCGCTGCGTGAGCGTCGGGTAGAGAACGGTGCGCACATTCTTGAGCGCCTGGGTGAGATGGGCGGTGAGGGTGACGGGCTGGCCGCCGACGAAGATTTTGTCTGTCTCGGTGGAGTCGCCGTACAGCGACGAGAGGGCGATAAACTCCAAATCGTCAGTCAGACGAACATGGACAAGACGGGCCTGAACCGGATCGTTGGGATTGTGTGTCGCCTGGATTTCGAGCAGGCGAATCTCGCGCCTAGACGAATCCAGACGCCTGTACGGAATTCCCATGGTCCTTCTGTTCCAACAAGACGGACAAAGAAGGCAGAAATCCCCCTGAAAAGCAACACCAGAACGAAGTGCCGGCGTTTATACCAAGAATGAGCGAAAGCGGACCCGGCTGGTCGGCCATTGGGTTCTGGGGTGCGCCATCGGCTGCCAACCTCGCTTGAAATTGAGTTTTCGAATGACAGGGGGTCAAAGGAGAAGCCGTCCGTATCCACTGATTGCGCGACATGATTGGTGTTTCTGCCCCGTCTTCAACGGTCCTGCAGCGTTTCTAGAATCCTGGCGATTCATAATCCTAGGCCCGGCCTGTTCATTTCCTGCGCTTGTGCTGTGTTCGTGACCCAAGACAACCCCTTTCGCCCTCGTTGATAACCAATCGTCCACTTGGTGGGCTCCCAACAGTCTGAGCGAGGTTCGCAATCTTTTCGGCTCCACTTCTCATCTGCATAAATAGTCCAGGACACCATGGCATAAGGAGCCTCTCGCTTGGATTCTTCAACACGGCTCTGGGGTGCTTCAAACCCCACAAC